ATCTTTCTTTGAGTATATTTGTTTGAGGAACAAAATCAGTTTAAAGCAAGCAGAGTTTGTAAGTTTCCATCAAAGTGTCTCAGAATCTGCAATGTGGACTTTTGAATTTTAGGCCAAAATAAAAAAAGTGTTGAGAGTTGGAATAGAGCAATAAAATTTTATTGATAGAAGAATGAGAATTTAAACCCAATTATAATAAGCACAACAAAAGAAAGAAATAAAATATAATAGATGGGGACAAAAGACACACAAATTTCCCTAGACTCAATATTTTCTTTAATGAAATGTCTGCCAATCTCCACATGTTTAGTACGATCATGCTAGTCTGGATTGTGAGCAATGTTGATGGCGGTCTTATTATCACAAAATAGTTGCAGCGGGACAGAGGTCGACATAGGAAGTTCACGGAGCATGATGCGTAACCAAGTGGCTTTACAGATCCTCAAGGTCATGCATGGAAATTCAGCTTCAACACTGCTCCAAGCAACCACAGACTGTTTTTTGTTTTTCCATGTGACTGGATTTACCCATACAAATGAGCAATACCCAGAGGTGGAACAATAGTCATGAACCAACCCAACCCAATCAACAAAAAAAAGATCGAGAAAGGACAAGAGAAAAAAAAACTTAAGTCCGATGTACCTTTTAAATAGTGAAGAATCCGGTGAACAGCTTGGAGATGGTGCTCTTAGGGTTCATGCATGAATTCACTCTATATACCAACTACATGGCATATGTTGGGGTGAGTATGGGCAAGATAAAAGAGTTTCCCAACAAGGTTTTGGAAGTGATCCTTGTTGACATACACAACATTGAGAATGTCTGATAATTTTTCATTGGGATCCATATGGACAGTCACTAGTTTACACAGAAGAATGTTGCTATCTTTCAAGAGGTCAATGATGTATTTACGCTATGATAGAGGAGATGATTGAGTCACTTCCATGTCTAAGAAGTACCGCAGAGATCTCAAATCCTTCATTTCAAAGAACTTAGCAAGAGTGTCTTTCAAGGACTCCAATGCTGAAAAATTATTGCTTGTAAAAATGATATCGTCAATATAGAAAATAAGGATAGCTACATTGCTATTGAAAAAATGTCGGAAAAAAGAGTGTGATTCGATTGAGCCTGAGTAAACCCATGACTCATGATGCTTTAGCTTATAGAGAGACTTTCGCAGCCTGCACACTTGCCCTTTGGAGACAGTAGAGTAAAATAAAAGAGGGAGAGACATGTATACCTCTTCTGTAAGCTCTACAGTGAAGAATGCATTCTTGACATCTAGTTGAAATAAAGGCCAATCGAGATTCACTGCAAGGAACAACGGAACCCGAATAGTGTTTAATTTAGCCATCGGAACAAATGTCTCCTCATAGTCATCTACATAAGTTTGTGAATACCCTTTGTGCTTTCTTGCGTTCAAAGGATCCATCAAAGTTGAACTTGGTGCTGAAAAACCATCGACACCCCACAGCTTTCTTACCCTAAGGAAGATTAATGACGTCCCATGCATGGTTCCATTGAAGGGCATTCATCTCCATTACTGTCATTTTCTAAGCTGGATCAGCAAGAGCAACCTCAATAATGGCTGGGATTTGATGACCCATCGGGGTAGTTGCAAATGCTCTGTAAGTCGATGATAAACTACACAAAGAGAAATATTTTGTCATAGAATAGAGAGAACATGTTTGATTGCATACCTTACTCAAAAAACTCACCTCCTCATTCAGAGGAGGGGTCGCGTTGAGGATGTTGCCAAGAGTGAACTCAAGGCCTTGTAAGGAGGTAGTGGGTTACTGAGTAGAAGCATTGGAACGGGTGCGTCAAGTGCAGACACGAATAGTGGGAGGAGGAGATGGTGCACTCACCGGATCCGAGAACTCACCGGATAGTGCACTCACCGAGACAGGGGACTCTTTAAGTAGCGGGAACAATGGGGGCAACATCTATAGGAGCAGGATAAGGGATAGTGTTTAAGAACCCTCTCACTTGGGGCTAAACTAGAAAAATAGGAAATACTTACAAACCCAACACTCACATAGATTGTGATAGGATCAAAACACCGATACCCCATTTGAGTAGCAGAGTACCTAAGAAAGATATATTTTATGAATATGGGATAAACTTTACTTCGATTGGGGGGGGGGAAGGGTTCAAAAAAAAGAAAGG